GTGACTCACGGCAGCCCAGCTCCAGGTCGAGCTGTTGTTCAGCATCTTAGCTGTAGAGGGCAGTGTCACTGGCCCTCATATGTGGGATCCGAACCGGAGACCTCTGGCGTCCCAAGCCAGCTCTTAACCAATGCGCCACTTGGCTGGCCCTCTAAATTTTTTAAGTGTAACATGCTTTTAGGAATATGTAACAAGTTATTTATCTACAGAAAAAGCCAATGCATACTTCCAAATACTATGATTTAATTAGGAAACAAAGTTGATGAGATATTTTCCTATGAAAAATCTTGATATGGGCAATAAAGTATAAGTCTTTAAAAAAAAGTTTGTGAATTAAGAAATTAACACAGCTAAGTTCATTTTTAAAAATATGAATTTCATATAATCCAAGCCTCAAATAAGATACATGACTAATAATTAAAAGAGGAGCTAAACTGGCATTATCTGCTTGCAATATAATAGCTAAAAGGTATCTAGAAAGATATCTAGGCCAACCTCCATTTTTAACACAGGATCATGCCATGTATCATTGTGAGCTAACAGAACTATACAATAGTTTATATACTTATTAAGCATTTGTTAATATGCCATGTATCACACTTACTATGGGGTTAAAAACTCAGTAAGAGGTTGAGTTCTGATCTTGAAGGATGGGGCAGAAGCTGTTCTATACAGACACATACACAAATTAAGTGCAATAACATACTCCAGGGATTTATGATGTATGGGACACAGAGGGGCACAAACGGGGTGGTCAAATATACTGAGTATTCAAAAAAGACTATAAAAAAAGGACACAATGAATGCTCCATGGATAAATGAATATACATACATAAAGGTCTTGACATAGAAAACAATAAATAATAGTTCTATTATTTCTCCTATGAAAGGCCTTGACTTATCCAAAACCATTAACTTATTTTCTTTAACATTTATTTTGCTGAGTAAATAACTCCATTTACTACAATATGATTTCTAAATTATTGATTCAGGAGAGAACTATGATATACTGTCACATTATGAAATACATATAAAGAGTGAATTAAACCAGGTTAAATTTTAAGAGTCAAATTTATCTTGACTTATGAACTTGCTTACCTGCACAGCAATGTACAAGCCTGGAACATTGAAGGACTCAAACATTATTTCAGCAGTATATTCCCTGTTTTCTGGAGTATTCAGTGGAGGTTCAGTCTATTAAGTTGAATGACATTTTAAAGACACGATCAGATTATTTCAATAACTTTATAGACAATTTTAAATGAGAAATTATTTCAAATACTGTATTTAAAAGTCATTAAACTTATAAATAGACCAAAGAAAAACTATAGAGAATTCAAATATATATAAATATAAGAAAACAATATGGCTATTCACATAAAAAAAGAAACGAAACTGAATTCCTATGTCACACCACTCATAAGGATTAAACATTGAGCAAGGGCAGGAGGAAGAGACACAGTCAAATTATCTTTTAAACATGGGAGTGACAGACCTACCCGCAAACATACCAATGCTATTTATGATGGAAGAGTCCTCATCTATGCAATGTTTACAGCAGATGTACCTGGTCTGTCTACAATTACAGTACATAAACCAAGATTCTACAAATGTATGGCATAGCTTACCGGAAAGTGTTATGTAAGTTACATAATTGTTAAAATGGAGATGTTTGAACAGTTTTCTTCAGTTTAAGTTCTGTGGCTGAATACATCACTTAGAAACCGGCAGGTTAAGTTCGAAGCAAGAAAGAACCTAGGCACTTCATGTTTCACCTATGTCTCATGATTATTTAAATTGTTTAAATTATTAAAGTTTGAAACTGGCTAAGACCTCTGATTCTTATGAGTCTGATTTGACAATCGAATCCTTTTTGTTATCTCAAGTATTTAATCTTCAAAGGCAAAACTTTTAAACTTAAGAAATACAGAATTATCTTAGACTTTGAGGTAAGCCACGAGTCCTTAAATTTAAAGAGCACAAATTGCCCAGGGAAAGAATGACATAACTTGAATTCACCACAAATTAAATCTTTTTTAAAAATTTAAAAAACACTATAAAGAAAATAATTAAAAAGAAAAACAAACAAAAACAAAAAAACTAACTAGGAGTAGACTTTTTCCATACATAAAACCTTTAATAGCTAAACTGCCTGGTGTGTTTAAAATTATTTAGAAGAGTTTGAGAACTATGTTCAAGGGTAAGGAGATAGTCAATAATAAGTACATACAAAATTAAGTAAACTAAAAAACCAAGGCAGTCAAGCTATAAATTCCAAAACAGAGTTCTACATAAAATATAATCAGAAGACTTCACAAAGAAAACATACAAATAGCTAATAAGTACACGAAAAAGTGTTCAATGTCATTACTCACCAGGAAAATGCAAATTAAAACCAAAATGAGAAATCTTGCCCACCCACCAGAAGGGCTAAAATTAAAGATTGACACATGAAATGTTGGGACACAGTGTAGAGAAACCAAATCGCTAATACACTGTTGGATGGGTGTGCAAAAAGGTACAAAAAGGTACAACCCCTTGGAAAAAGTTCTGAAAGTTTCCTATAAAATCAGTCGTGCTATTACCCTATGACATAGCAATTCCATATCTAGGTATTTACACAAGAGAAATGAAAACATATCCACAAAAAGACCTGTATAAGAATGTTCACAAGAGCCAAAATATTCTTAATAGTCAAAAACTGGAAACAGCCAAGGTGATCATCAACAGGAAAATGGGTAGTGAGGCATATTCATACAACAGACTACAACCCAGCAACACAAAGCAACACATTACCGGTATATTCAACAACATGGATAAATCTCAAGATTATACTGAGTGAAGTCTTATCAAAGGGACTATTTTATATGATTCCACTTTATGAAACTCAAAAATAGGCAAAATTTGTGCTGGAAAAAATCAGAACAGTAGCTGCCTCTAAGGCATGGGGGAAAGAATTAACTAGAAAAGGGCATGAGAGAACTTTCCAGGAGCAATGGTCTCTACCTCTTGATAAGGGTTTAGGTTACACAGATGTGTGCACCTGTCAGAATCAGGAGACAGGTAAACTACACCATCATCCTGTAGGCCAAATCCGGCCTACCCTGTTTTTGTAAATACAATTTTACTGGAACACAACCACACCCACTCATTTAAGTATTATCTATGGTTACTATCCAGCTACAACAGCAGAGCTGAGTAGCTGCAACAGACACCAAATGACCTACAAGCAAAAAATACTTGCTATCTGGTCCCTTAGAGAAAGTCTGCCAATACCTGGTCAAAACCCATTGAATGGTAGGATTAAGATTTATGCATTTTATAGCATGTAATTTTTACATAAAACAAAAAAACTGTAAACAAATATGAATTCTAATTGATGATCTATGTGCATGCTAAAGTATTTAGGGGTGAAATGACTCCATCTGCAACTCATTTTGAAGTAATTAAAAAATAAAATGAAGTGATAAATAACCCCATTGATAGATGTCATAAAGCAATTATAGTAAAATTAATTGTTGAGTCTAATTTGTGGGTTTATGGGGGTTCACTGTATTTTCAACTTTATGGTCCAGCCATAAACAATACAGGTGTATCTAGTTTTACTGAGCTTCACAGATGTATTTTTTATTTTTTAATTTATTTTTATTATTTACAAATTAAGGCAAGACCCTCAACCAGCAAAAAGATTGACTCGCTTTATCGCAGTGGTCCGAAATCGAACCCGCAATATCTCCAAGGTATGCCTGTATCCACAAGCTACCATAATAAAATATAAAATACTGATTTAACAAAAAACTCTGATATAACTATACTGCAGGGAGAAGACACGAATTTCGAGTGAAGAAGGGGGAATAAAAGGAAGAAAAGAAAATCCTCATCTTTCCTACTAGGTAGTAGAGAGTGTCTAATATTTAAAAAACAAAAATAGAATATATTATTTAAATTTATAAAATACTACTAAGAAAAGAACTTTAAAAATTTTAAATGTTTGCCTCTGGAAAATATGAATCAAGGGTTTTAAGAAGTGAGAAGGGCAGTGTTTTTTTTTGCTTTAAATCTTATAGCATTTGATTTTTTTTTAAACTATGAATATGCACTGGTTTGGTTAAAGAAAAAATGGTTTAAAAATTAAGTTATATTGTACTTTTGTTACCAAGAATTACAAATGAAATGATAATCAGACTAGCTATTTAAAAAAAAAGGGAAGTGTCATGTTTCCAACTTTTTTCTGAACCTTATTTACTATTCCTACCATAAAGATTACATTTTAACTATCAAAATAACTTCTTCTTTTTTTTAAAGATTTTTATTGGGGAATTGGGGGGATGGGAACAGTGCTGGGGAATTGGGGGAAGAGGAACAGACACGTTGCTGTCCTTTTGTTCTTCAGTCTAGTTGTGGAGGACGTTGCTTCACTGGCCCAAGTTGGCACCATCATTGCGCTCTTCCCGGGCGAGGCAGATCAGTCGCCGGCTTCTGGACGGCGACTTACTGCGGCTGCTGGCCGCTCACGCTGGCTGCTGGCTACATACCGTAGCCCATGGCAACCCACTGCCACAGGGGCTGCAGCCTACGCCGTTGCCAGCGACTCATGGCAGCCCAGCTCCAGGTTGAGCTGTTGTTCAGCATCTTAGCTGTAGAGGGCAGTGTCACTGGCCCTCATATGTGGGATCCGAACCGGAGCCCTCTGGCGTCCCAAGCCAGTTCTTAACCATCACGCCACTCGGCCGGCCCTCAAAATAACTTCTTAAAGTACCTAAACTTTAGTGCTTCAACATATTACTCCTCTATTGGAACCCAGGAACTGGATGGTCTTAAAGATGATAGAGCTTTCTAACGAAGTCTTTTAGACATATGACAATTTGATAAACAATAAAGTATTCCCTGGTTGAGTACAGATGTGATGAAAACATTCTCATTAAGTTTCTTTAAAGGTTTCCTCAGTTAAATTACAATTTGTACTCACCAAAAGAAAATAATGGTCTTCAGGTTCTGCC